AGCATTGTCAGTATAGATAGATGATTTGCCCTTGTTGATTCACTATAAAGTATACACTGAATCTTGATTTCAGATGCAGCTTGCTGTGGCCCCTGCCCAGGAAACCAATATCCCAACAAGGACAAGGGCTACTGCATTGCCAAGAAGATCCACTTCCTTTCCTATCAAGACACCCTGGGATATATTTTAAGTTCTCTCACACTTTCTCTCTCTATGATCACGTTGGGAGTCCTGGCAATTTTCTTTAAATACCGTGACACTCCAATTGTCAAGGCCAACAACCGAAATCTCACCTATGTCCTCCTGGTCTCCCTCCTGCTCTGCTTCCTCTCCTCCTTCCTCTTCATTGGTCAACCCAGGAAGCTCACTTGTCTCTTCCAACAATCTGTCTTTGCCATTCTCTTTTCCCTTGCAGTTTCCTCTGTGTTGGCAAAAACAGTCATGGTGGTTTTGGCATTCATAGCCACCAAGCCAGGGAACAGGACAAGGAAACTCGTAGGAAAACCAATGACTAACTTTATTGTCTCAGTCTGTCCCCTGATCCAAACACTTATTTGTGCAACCTGGCTGGTCACCTCTCCCCCATTTGCCAACTTGGACTTCCACTCCTTTGTAGGAGAGGCTGTCTTGGAATGTAAGGAAGGGTCATCTTTGATGTTTTATGCTGTCCTTGCCTACCTGGGCTTTTTGGCCCTCGTCAGTTTCACAGTGGCCTTTATGGCTAGGAAACTGCCTGACAGCTTTAATGAAGCCAAGTTCATTACTTTTAGCATGCTGGTCTTCTGCAGTGTTTGGATCTCCTTCCTCCCCACCTACCTGAGCACCAAAGGGAAATCCATGGTGGCTGTGGAGATCTTCTCTATTTTGGCCTCTGGGGCTGGTCTCTTGGCTTGCATCTTTTTCCCCAAATGCTATATTATCCTACTGAGACCCCATCTTAATTGTAGAGAAAATATAAGAAACAAACATCTCTAATGAATGTAGGGATAGGTCACATTTATATTTGTATTTGAAACTTATTTAGAACATTTCCAAAATACCATGAAATGAAGGAAGATCTTGTCCATTTAATAATTGCTCATCAAATGCTGTGTCTAGCCACAATATACCTCTTGTGAGCAACAATTACCCATTTGTTTTTCATGTCTTCCAGTTATCCTCACTGAGGTCCAGTGCCTTGTATGGAAATAAAGCCTGGAATTAAAGATGTCTATAATTTCAAGGAGGACACATTCTCATTTTGTTCCTTTTGACATGTTAGTGATTTAAGGTATTAGATTCACTAGTGGGTTTGGAGTATGTATGCATAGACTCCAGAGGCTTTGGAGAAATCTCTACTACTATTCAATTTTCTTGAAATGAGTTTAACTCCTCCACCCATCATGTCCAACTGTGATCTCTCATCAATGAGGGGCAATTTACAGGGTGGGATGAGCAAATAACATTAACAGCACATGCAGTAGTCTGATCCACTTTTGTGCCATGTCATCTATTGAAACTCCTCTATGAGATATCTCTGCAAAATTCAATCTAGGCCCCATATCACCCTCAAATTTCATTTATGAGTCTTGTTCCCAGCAAGGTCACCCAAGGCATCACACTGATTAGGTTGACAATTTAAGGCAGGAGGAAACTCCCATATAACCCAGTCCTGTGACATATAAACCTTTGTGACTTGTAATCCCATTTAAAGGTGGTAACTGGTACCTTGAATTGCACCTGGAAGAAACCTGGGAGCCAGTTCAGTTCATGCAACAGAGGTGCAACATGGATGAACCTAGAAGCACCTAGTAGCACCCAGCACTCTAAGTGCCACCACATTTCAGACAACCACTTCATTTGGACCAACTGTAGTTTTCAAGTGGTCGCCCAATGGGGAGAACGTTCCATTAGTCCAAGTGGGAATTGGTGAACTCATGGCTGACTCTGAGCAGAGCCACAAGTCCAGAATATGGGACAATTGCTATGCTGATCATACTTGCATCTCCAGCTGGCGGGGTTCAGAAGAGCCTTCTCTATCGTGGCTCCTGCCCTTTGATGATCCTATCCCCTGGGGAGAGATGGGCTCCCACCCTTCTGATCAGAATCTAAAGACCTGACTTTGCCACATGACTTGGGACCTCAATGGGGGAAGATCACACTGGAGGCATTTGATGAATTAAGAGCCAATCCCTCCTGCACATCATCTTCCTTCCATCCCCATCTTTTTAGTATAACTTGATTTTGATTTCCATTTTTATTTTTAAGAAATATTTATTTGTTACAATGTTAATTTTTTAATACTCTAAGCTGTCCAGAGTCATTTTGATGGAAGACGAGTGGCAGATAAATTTCATACATACATGCATACATAAAAACCTCTCACCCAGTGAATTAGTGTAGTTGTAAAGGATAGGAGAGCTAAGGTCCCTCACACTGCGAGGGCTGACTTCAAGTAGAACTGGGGTGGGTGGGTGCACTACCCGCATCCCACTCCTGCCACACTTCATCTAAAATCACAACCAAGGCCCTTTCCATCCCACCCCAACCCATAATCCTCACTGGATGGAATCTAGACAGACAGCTTCATCCAGGACCTTTCAAAGATTCTCTGTGACCCCCTTTTCCATAACCCTCTTTAAAAAGGGGTCCACTGATGATCACCTTCTTCATAATATTTTCTTTTAAAAAGGAGGAGTTTGGATAAGGGATGAAAATTGTCCAATAGAATGAGACTCAGGCATTTTGTTGTTGTGGAAATGGTGAACCAATTTCTGCTAAAGAGGTAGAAGAAGATCTTGCCCTTTTCTCAAGGATGAATTCATGCTGATGTAGTTCCACTCCTGGGTCTGATCCCAATAAAGGCAGATTGGCTGCCTCAACTCTTGCCAAGGCTCTTCCCTCTGTCCTCTCTGTAGCTCTCATGGACATTCAGACCCTCCACAGTTCAATAACATCCTGTTCAACCAACTGAAGGTTTTCAAAGGCCTTCCTGGCCACAAATAGAATCTGCTCCTTGTGCAGGAGCCAAGAGTCCAGTAACAACAGTCCCAAACATGGCAGGGCAATGTCATGCAGGACCCAGTCCTGGGAGGACCTATCAGCAACCGCTGCTTGTTTTGGGTAGGATCAAAACTGAGATTCTTCCTCCCCATCCAACAGCCATCAGGAACCAGGGCAAAATCTGGACTACAATGCTTGGTCAGTCACCTGTCAGAGTTCTAAGTAATATCTCCATAGAAAGCAGACCTCCGAGGCAAGCCAGTTCCTCAAAGAACAATTTTATTGGAGATATCATATTGGCCCATATCTTGAGAGAGCCTCCACTGTATTTTTAAGGTCTTTGGGACACTTGAGTTTCCACTTTCCTCTCACACCTTGTGGTTATGAATAACCCATTTCTCCCATCAAATAATTGGTGCCACTGCTGGCACTTTCTAGTGAACAAATATTTGTCATGTGCCACCACAACCCATTAGCATTCCTACTATCTTTAAAAGAGGACAGTATAGGCCAAACTGCACCTTGTGTGTGGAGACCATGCAGATGTTGGCAAAATTGAAAGAGGGAAAGAATGTGTGCAAATTGGATAAGGTGCCAGGTCACAGTAAGCTTTATCAACATTTCTATGGCAACACAACTGGCATGTTTCTTTCTATTAATAGCAATGGCATCTAGACTTTTATACTGTTTCATGGTGCTTTACAGCCCTCTCTAAGCTGTTTACAGAGTCATCCTCTTACCCGCAACAATCTGGGTCCTCATTTTACTGACCTTGGAAGGATGGAAGGCTGTGTCAACTTTGAGCTGGTCAGGATAAACTTGCTGGCAGTGAGTAGTGAATTAGCTTGCAATACTGCATTCTCACCACTGTGCCACCACAGCCCTTCCTTCCTTTGTTCGTTCGCTCCTTCCTTCTCTTTTTTCCTTCTATACTGCTTCACGGTGCTTTACAGCCCTCTCTAAGTGGTTTACAGAGTAAGCATATTGCCCCCAACAATCTATGTCCTCCTTTTACTGATCCTGGAAGGATGAAAGGATGAGTCAACCTTGAGCCTGGTAAGATTCAAAGTGCCAGATTGCAGGCAGCCGGCAGTCAGCAGAAGTAGCCTTCAGTATTGCACTCTAACTACTGAGCCACAACAGCTCTTGGTTATTGTTATTATGATAAAATTGGTATTAAAATACCAATTCTTCCTTGAAAACATTAACAGAAAGGCAGGAAGTCACCTGAGATATATTATGTTCTTTCTCATGAATAGGCATCCATGCATCTGCAATGCATAAATATGGGTTCATTTAATCTGCAGGGGTGTGTCTCCCATTATTCTTTTGCAGGAGATCTTTGCATGAAGCATTTTCTAATAAATCACTGCAGTGAGCCTGGATTATTTGCTTTGGATCCTGCATTCGGATTCGGTATGTGGCAGAAGCTCCATTCTGTGTCTGGAGGGCAAATACTCAACTTCATCTTCACACCAAAGTCTACATGAACTGTGGATTCACAACAAGAGATACAAGGATGTTTTTCCCTTTCTGGCATGCGAACCAAATCCAGTGCAAAGGGGATGGAAGTATTGCTTTTCCTTGCAATTATCATAAGAGCAGTAATTCTTAATGTTTTCCCTTGTGGATTTCTCCCCACAAAAGGCTTCCAAGAGAAAACTCTGCAGTGAAAAATATGCTCTGGCTCCTTCCAGAAGGGGGAGGAGAATTCACCTTCACTTGTCTTGCAAAGGACCAACTCCTTTGTTTGGTGAGACTCAGCTGGCCTCAGTTTTCTCCTTGGTTACAGCCCAAACACAGGTAAGAAAAAGCTTACCTGGAATAAATTTGCCCGGGAGACATCCAAGTGGCACAGACTCTTTTGTGCTGAGATTTGAAGCGCTCCCTGCAATTCAGCCTCTCCATCAACCTTGATTTCGCATCTAAGAGGGAAGGTGAGAAGAATGGCTGGGCTGCCTCTCCTCCTTCTGCTACTGCTGCTCTTCTGGCTCCTGCTTCCAATGTCTGCTAAGAGGATGCAAACTAAACGTGTCTTGAAGAAACTTCCCAGCATTCACAGATACTATTACAAGCCTGGTGATCTCATTATTGGTGGGAATTTGCATATGCATAGCTTTGTTACTTTCAATAAACCAGACTTTCAAAACGATCCATCACAGTTTATTTTTTCTACTTTGTAAGTTTCACCTTGCAAAAATGTAAATAATTGTTTGCTTTGCTTTGGATTTAGGGGCACATTTCTGAATAGTTGTTCCAGTGATATTTGCAATGCCGAAGGGAAGTTCAAATATTTGTGCTTTTCTTAATAAAGAGCCAGGCTCGTAGATTGGCTGGAATTATCAATCTTTCCAGAATTCTTCATCAGGAAGATGATAAGCAATGGAGTTTAAGGAGAGACAAAACACTAGAAACTGTGTCTAGAGAAGAACTTGACTTATAGTATTTATTTGGATTGGAAAACTCAGAATTCAGCCTTTCCCCCCCCCCCCAATTACTCCTCAATCTTTCAGAACTCTTGATCAGAAAGATGCTAAAAGTTTATAGAAAGTGAGAAGGCTTGGTGAAGATTTTGAGTTATGATACTTATTCAGAGAAAAACTCAAAGAAACATCCTGTCCTTTCCAGAGAGGGCTAATATATAAAAACAAAAATGCAGCCTTGAAACCAGCAGGGCTCAGGAATAAAGGCCTGAAGTAAATTAATGCAGTGACCCCCACTGGAGTCTTGTGCTCAGCATTGGTGACCAGACCTGAAGCATCTGCTCAACCAAATACATGTTCCTCTGCATCATATATATGTGTGTATGTAGGTATATGTATAATGGTCTCCCTTTGAGAGCTGAATGCAACAAAATTTCATTTTAATGTATGCTGATTAGTGTACATTTAAAGTGACAATGAAGTTCTATTCTATTCTGTTCAGTTCAGTTCTAATTTCTATTCTAATTTCTATTCTATTTCTATTCTAAATTGATTGGGCTGCTGGAAGAGCAATGGGGAAGAATTGCAGCCACTGGAGGAAAGAGAAGGAGGGAGGAACAATAGAGGTGTTTGAAATGGTCCATGATATGAAGAGACAAAACCTTTCAAATTTAATGAAAGAACAACTTTTTTTTAAAAAAAAGAAAAAAGCTCATACTTGCTCCAAACAAAATGCAAAAAAGAGCAAAGGGAAGGCAAACTCTATCAGAATTCATCAGCTTTCTTGTAATGTACCCCAATGCTGTTCTCACTCTAGATTACTACCCAAGAATTACCAGCAGTTCATGGCCTTGGTGTTTGCCACCAGGGAGATCAACAAGGATCTGCATCTCCTGCCCAACATCACCCTTGGCTTCCACATCTATGACAATCGCCAGATTGAGATATCTTTAGACAGCTTCTCCCTGCTCTCCACTCGAGGCCGAATGGTTCCAGGTTACAAATGTAACAGGCAGGACCCTCTGCTCTCTGTCATTGGGGGTCTCAACCCCAAATCCTCAAGGCAGATGGCCTCCCTCTTCAGCCTCTTCAAGATCCCACAGGTAAGGGGGCTTTATTGGATAAAGTGTTGGATAGACAAATAACAGAAGCACACACAGAAGCCAAAGATGAAAATAAAGTTGTTTGTTAAGGGGGCATATATTTATATTTTCTGTGTCAAGATATGGTTTTATAGAACCCAGAAGTGGTAGATAATGAGATCAATATTGAATGCTGTATATTTCCATGAGGAATTCCTTTCTAACTTTTTTTTAATAAAAATGTCACCGTCCTTTTAGTACAGTCTATTCTCTGACGTATGGTTCCCTTGGCTTCTGTCATGTCACTACCAGGCAAATTATGTAATCTTCCTAATATGTAATATCTTCTTCCTAAGAAGGCAGGAGAATTAAGCTTGGCACTACAAACGAGCCAGCCTAACTGGTGCAACAATAATTCACATAAAGGTGACACCTAAAATTTACCAAGAATCTCACTTTCTCCAGCTCGGCGTTGGCTTTGAGTTCATTAAAGAAGACAGAATAGTTTATCCTTCCTTCATCTGGATTAATCCCAAGGAATCTCCTCAGTATGAAGGTTTAATCCAGCTGCTCCTGTATTTTCACTGGAACTGGGTTGGGCTGGTGGCGCCTGAAGATGACAGTGGAGAACATTTCATCTCATTTCTGAAACCAATGCTGAAGGAGAAGGAGATCTGTTTGGCTTTCACTGAAATGTTGAAATCAGATTTTCTTGGTGCTATAATGTTGAAATTACTTCATATTTTTGAGACTTGGTCTAATGTTGAAGTGTTTATTCTGTTTGGAGACTCCAGGAGTGTTACAAATGTACAGCTAGCAACCAATCTATATGAACAGTCGAGAAAGACATCATTTTGGAAAGTTTGGATCTTAACTTCCCATTGGAAACTTAGTGTGGCCAGTAATCAAGACATCTTGAAAGTAGTAAAGCAGTTCCATGGGGCTTTGCACTTTAGGCCCCACACTGGGGAGGTCTTGGAATTCAGTCATTTCCTCATGTCTTTAGACCCCCTGAAGCCACAAGGGGACGTCTTTCTCCCGCTGTGTTGGGAAAAGTTGTTTGGCTGCATGATGGACAAACCAGGCAGGATCCTTCCAAAGTGGGGGAAACCATGTACAGGAAAGGAGAATTTACACAATCTACCCTCTTACATTTTTGAAACAAGCATGGAAGGTGAAAGTTACAACATCTACAATGCCGTTTATGCCATGGCATATACATTGCATGAACTGCATGGTTCTGTGGGACAAACAGCCATGTTAAGACTCGGAAAGAGAATCTCAAATATTCAGTCATGGCAGGTAATCTCAGTGAGTTTTTATCTGGTCCATAGATGCCTAGGTAGGAAACTCCCTACATGCATTTCTTCAATTACTAAATATTATTAAATATCTGTATGCCATCAATGTATCTAAGAAGGGGTTAAGATAGCAATTGTTTAAAAAATGTAATTTGAATTAAGTGAGAGGTTTTTGTTGAAAAGGGACAGATGGAGGAAAAAGAGAACTAAACCAAACCAGTTTTTCATAAGACCAAGGAGCTTCCTAGAAGTTCCTGGAAGTTCATCAACGGCTGCCTGAGAATCAGGTGTGGCCACTCTAAGGAGAAGTGGTCATTCCAGAGGGTAATGACAATCTGCTTTTGCGCAAAATGCTTCAATAGGTGAGTTCAAGTCTTAGTGGACACATTTGCAGAAGCCCCTCAGTTTCTCTCAGTCAGTAGTTTGAATTCAATCTGAAAAAAGACACTCAATTCATTTTAATGTTGGTTAGGTTACTGTGGCTAAGAATTCTTTGTGACTCTACCCCATTTTTTAAATTATGCCATTTCTTGTACTGCTTTGTTGGTTGTGTTAAGCCTCTGTCAACCACAACATATTCAAAAGAAGATTCAATATGTTTGTGCAGGTAAGATTATCATGCCTGCTTGTCAAGCAAAACCAAGCATTTATAGTGAGTGCCATACCATGTGCACTAATCAAGCAGGTGGCAAGAAAGTAGGGGCAGTCAGGCATAACACAGGTTATGTAGACAGTAAACACAGGGTCAATCAAAATGGATTCAGAAGTGTATACACCAATGTACAGAGTATGAGGAATAAACAGGGTGAATTAGAAATTCAAGTAAAAGTGGGCAGATACGATATTGTTGCCATTATGGAAACTTGCTGGGATGAAATCCACAAAGGGAACATAGAGCTAGAAGGATTTAAAAGAAGGATTATTTAAAAGAAATAGATCAAATAAAAGAGGAGGTAAAGTTGCACTATATATAAGAAATAACTATATCTCTACAGAAATAGAGCTTGGGAAGGATTCCATGGATGAGAATCCTCAAGGGGAAAACAACTCAAGAAGTTTGGGAAATTTTGAAAAGTGAGATT